TTTTCCTATAAAGAGGAATATTGGCGGAGAAAATAATATTATATTGAATTGAGTAAAATGAAAGAATGTTATTGCTTTTAGAGATGTATAATTTATCAAATTTGCAACTCGGAAAAAGGTCGATAAAATTACATCTGAACTATCTGAAATAGATCACTTATACTCTTCGTTATATTTTGAAATAAAAATATCCTTCTTGTTATCTCAGAAGACCACAAATACTCTCAAGAGTTAATAACATTGATTTGGCAAAACCACGTGACACTAATTTCACCACCTAAAGGTGCCTAGGATACCCACTAAAATAAGGGTCTTTAATTTTGGCCCAATTTATAACCCAATCCTAACCCATTTTTGCTAGATCCGACCCACTAAAATTAACAGGCAAATATCATCTTTTCACCGCATTTTCACCGTTCAATTCAAATGGATTCTCAATTTAGAATGACTCCACCTATTCTTCTCAAAAACACAGATGCTACTAAAGTGCAAAAACCAAGTTGGTCGGGTCCGCTGAAATGAGGTGAAAAGGTGATGTTCGCCTCTTAATTTTATTGTGTCGGGTCTAGCAAAAATGGGTTAGGATTGGATTATAAATTGGGTCAAAATTAATGATTCATATATAAGTGGGTATCCTAGTTCGCAAGCTTAGGTGGTGAGATTAATGTTATGTGACTTGTCACATCATTGTTGTTAACTTTTGAGGGTATTTCAGGTCGTTTGGGATAAGATAACGATGAGGTATTTTTTATCTTAAAATTTATCGGAGGATATAAATGATCTATTTCGCATAATTTAGGAACCACTATGAGCAATTATTTTTGATTGGTTATAATTATGACTTCTTTCGCTATAAATAGGATTGTTGGTTGAGAAAATAATGTGAAAGTAATATTGTAAAATTTGTGTGAAATAAAGGTGTGTTACTCTTTTTTTCTACTTAGCTAAAGTATTATTTCTAGGTGGGATTATTGAATAAAAGTGTTTTAGCTTCGATCACAAAAATAGAGCAAGGATGGCATTGAGTGGTCAACTAGAATTTGAGGTGGAAATTAAGACTCCAGGAAACATTTTCCTTGAATTATATGGAAGCAACAAAGAATATCTCCCTAAAATCTGCTCACAATTTTTCCAAAAAATTGACTTGCTTAAAGGAGAGTGGGGACAAGTTGGATGCATTATCATGGCATATTATTTCATTGGTAAATCAACTAATCTCTAGTACTCAAGTACTACTCTTTAATATGTTTATTAATTAGAAAAACAAGTCAATTATATATATAATTTGATGCATTGATTTTTACTACTCTCACTACAACAAAAACAATTTTTAACAACAATAAATATACACATTAACAAAGAGTGCTAAAGTTTTTACCTGCATTAGTAATTAAATTGTCACTAGATCCAATGTCGTTACAGTCTTTAGGATATATACAAAGAGTGTTAATTGCCACTAAAAATACATATTTAACAGCAGTTAAACTATTACCATTAATTAATTATTGTTAAAAATTATTTTTGATATTGTGTATTGAGAATGATTTAAATGTTTTGATGAAGATGGTAAGGCAACAAGTTCAAAGGAATTGGTGGAAGCAGTAGATGAGAAAAACAAGTCAATTACATATAGTCTGGTTGGAGGAGATATAATAATGAAGCTGTACAAGACCTTAGGATTACTATCCAAATTCTATCAAATAATGATGCTCAATTTATGAAGATAAAGCTCCAGTATGAGAAGCAGAATGAGGATGTTCCATATCCCTATAATGTTGAAGGCATTTGTTACTGCAGTCACTAAAGCCGTTGACGCACATTATTCTCATCTTTAAAATCCAGGGTAGGCTTAATCATAACGCCGCTAAAGCAATTCTTAGGACCCATACTATTTCTAAAGATATTATATATATGAATAAATAAACTTTATGAATTGATAGATTTTAAAATAATTTATTGGGTAAAAAATATTCATTTCTACTTATCTTATTTAATATGTAATAATTAAGAAATTAAAATCTAAATTTGCAGCTTTTAAATACTTTCGAAATATGCAGTTTTAAATACTTTCGAAATATGCAGTTTTAAATACTTATGAAATACTTTTTAATAAAAAAAACAATGAAACTTCACAATTAAGAGAAACCGAATTTGTCACACGTTGGCTTCTTTTTCAAAAATTATAAGCAACAAATAAATAAAATTTTAAGAGCCTTTAAATCACAAAAAAACTGTCAATAATTTTAAAAAACAAAACTGCCAATTCAAAAGTAGTGTAACTTCCACCCGCTGTGTAGTCATATAGATAGATTTTTCATTCTTTTCCACAATTTCTGTATCATTTTGCATTTATTGATTTTCTTGAAAAACTTTTAGGGGAAAAAAAATTATGAATGAAAGAAGATCTTTTAAGTTTTACCAAAAAAGAAGAAGAATGCAGATCATATATTTGTTCTCAGTTTCATATTTGTATTGTTATGAAATGAATTTGAAATGCGTTTTCAATTGATTCATCTTTTTGTTTTCTTTCTGAATTCGTATTATTTTTATCTACATTATAAAATTAGAACTATGATTTTGCAGGGTTGAAGTACACTTTTATCACATATTGAAGAATTCTCAACCAGGTAAAACTCAAAATTTGAGTCTTTATTTCCCTTTCTATTATATATTTTTTTATTATAAATAAAATCCAAATTATGAGATTTGCTACAAGAATTCTTATAAAAAATGTTTCTCCATTTAAACTCAATTAATGTCGTCATCAATCTAAGTACATTGAAAAGGTATAGAGTTCTTCGATTAACCTTAAAAGTTTTTATTTAGTACATTAAATCATCTGATGAAGTTTTTCATTCTTTCTTCTAAATATGTGGAAGTCATAAAATGAGGAGAAACATGTACATGTTTAATTTTGTCATTATTATATTATTATTAACCCACCATTGCACAAAATTCATTACATTCTCGAATTTTCAGTTTCAATTAATTAAATTTAAAATAGAAAACAAAAAAATTATTAAAAACTATCAATTTACAAAAAGATGCAAAAAAAATAATAAAATAAATAAAGAAACTGTCAATTGACATAATCAAAAGCTGTCAATTTACAATATTATTAAAGTTTTTTTCTAAAATTTTAATTAAAATCCTAATATTTTCTAGGACAATATTAAAAGAATCTGAAAAGAAAGAAAAGTTAATATTATTAAAAAAAATTTGAAAAGAAAGAAAAATTAATAATGAATATTTAAAATATCATATTTGATAAAACCTAATAATGGTATTTAATAAGCCGTCAATGTAATAATAATTAATTTAAACTAAAACATAACATATAACCAGATTAGTTTAATCAAAATTAAAATTAGTTTAATTATTTAATTAGTTTTCTAATCCACGGAAAAGATTGAAGATTTTTATCATATTTTTACGATGACAGGTGTAACTCGTGCTTCACACGTTATTGAATTTTTGAGTTTCAGTTCACCAATTATTCTAAAATTATGACACTCTATCAAAAACAGAAAACTCACAGAGTAAATTATTGAAAAATAATTACCGCATTTTTATGATATGTTATTGGATTTTTGAGTTTTCAATTCACCAATCATTTTAAAATTATGACACTCTATCAAAAGAGAAAACTCACACATTAAATTATTAAAAAAATTGAAATAGCGTACAAAAAAAAAAGGATTTGGAGCCTTTCAAATGTTTTTAACAAATAATCTTTTAAAAAAATAACATAAAAACTAAACTAAATAAATTGACATTTCTCTAACAATAAAAGAATTGGCTTTTAATAAGTCAAAATATTGACAACCTGTATTTATTTTAAAAATAATTTACAAAAAAATACAAATTAATTTATTTGAAACAAAAAATAAAAAAATTACCACAATGGATGATGGAGTCTTTTTAAGAAATTAATTTATATTAAATTAGCAAAACTAATTTCAAAATATGAAAAAAAATAAAATGCAAACATTTAGTATCTATTACTTCATATAGTATCTACTACTTCCGTCGTGATTTTGTAATAATGAATTTTTTTCTTAAGAGGATTATTGTGAAAAGGAGCGGATTTGATAATTAAGCACCCCATAGAATGTCGTCTCTTATGCCAAATAGTGAAAGTTGATGATCATTTAGTAACTTATGATTTGAGATTTTAGATTTTTGAGAAAATCATATTAGTACTCAGGTGGTTAAGTATTAAGTCGATACATATTCTCGATTTGATTATTTCTTTGACCTACTAATTAATTAGAACTAGAAGTAGGTTTTACCATTGTAATTTGACCGTCACTTACCACACAAAAAAAGTATTTATCATTGAGTTACAAAAATTAAATTAAAATATAAAATAAAAATAATATGCATCACAACATTAGTTCAATCAAGAATTTTTGAAGAGTGGTTTAGTGCCCCTTATTATTTCAAATTTTAATTTTAAATTGTACATTGAATCTCTACCTGATAAAAGAGAGATGTTACAGTGTATAATATATATTAGAACATAACGTATAACATAAGCACTTTCTTTTATATTATCCGCGCAACGCGTGGGTACGTATACTAGTAAAAAATAAAATGGAAAATACTCCTCTATTTCATATTAATTGAATATATGAGACAACGGTTACCCATTAAGAAAAACATTCAAAGACATAATTTAAACCATTTTTCATTATTACCCTTTTGTTTAATGTATTCCCAAGTTATTCTTAAAAATAGTGTAATTTATCTCTTAAAAATGTAAACTTTATTAAAGAAACGAATAGCTATAATTTTTTTTTTGACATTTATCTTAAATTTTGAACAATTCACCCTAGTAACACAAAAAAATTCAAATCTGATGCTTACAAGTGGGCTTGTGGCTGCTGCATAATAAAATGCACCATTCAATATTTTTTTAAAGCGTTGGCCTCAACATGAACAAACCTTAAAATTTCACAAACTTTATTTTGAGGCTTCACATCCATTGTTTATTAAACTTTGAGAGAAGGTTACAAACCAATTTTTCATTAATAAAATGTGAAGGAAACGAAGTAGCAAAAGTTGAAGAAGAAAACAAAAACAACACAAATACATTTCTTTTCTCTAGTAGCTTGTGACGTTGTTATGCATTTTCCCATTCTCTACAGTTCTAGTTAACCCTTTGATATCATTGATGAGACAGTCGAGGTTACTATACGATAAACCTCCTTCTTGAACACTTAGTTTTGCCAGTTTTGATAATTTCTCAACCGATTTCTTGTACTCATCCTTTTTTGTTTCCATAAGATCTTTTACCATTTTCTCTACGACGAATCTATCACAAATGTCTTTCATGTCTAACCCAATCTTCCAAAATTCATTTACTAGTCTACTTGTAACTCTTTGATCCACATATTGAGGCCAACATATCATGGGCTTTCCTTCAATAATGCTTTCCAGTGTCGAGTTCCATCCACTATGGGTTAAAAACCCACCAACGGATGGGTGGGCTAGTACCATCTTTTGTGGAGCCCAACTCACTATGTAACCAATTCCTTTGGAACCCTCAACAAGTTCCTTCATAAATTGATCACGTGATACATCTCCCTTCAACATGTTAGGCCTCATGACCCACAAAAATTTAACTTTACTATTCATTAGTCCATGCCAAAATTCCATCATCTCATCTCTTGAAACAACAAGAAGGCTTCCGAAACTTACATAAATTACGGATCCATTGGATTGCGCGTTGAGCCATTTTATAGAAGTATGGTCTTCTTCCCACAAGCTATTTGAGGATGACAATAGTGGAGTAGCTTTAGCAGCAAGTCTACTCTTCAAGTTCAAGGGCAATGGTCCAATTGCATATGTTTTAGGAAAGTAAGAACGGACACTAGAAAGAAAAGGCCCATCTAAATCTTCAAACGAGTTTAATATGAGCCCATGGGCTTTTGGGAGTCGCTCAATCTCCTTAAAAACGGCTTGAGAATTTTGATCGGTCTTATAATCTAAAAGACAAAAGTGTGGAAGATCTCGTCGTCTAAGAAGACCTTCCATGGCTGGTAAATGTGTTACCAATGCATCCAAGTCGTTTCCTAATTAAACAAATAAATATGAAGTTAAATTTACAATCGTAATTTCTACTATTTTCTTTTAAATGTCATTTTGCATAATTTTTAAGAAAAAGTTAATTAAAAATATAACCTGATTTATATATTTTTATCCACTTATATCCTCTCTTAATTCTAGAATTATTATTGCTAAAAATTAAAGTTTAAAAAATACAATAACTTTCTCGACAACTAAAAAGGAGCATGGAGTATTTCTGATTTTTCCTTTCTTTAAAAGTGGAGCAAATAATATTTTAAAGTTAATTGATAGTTTAATGCCTACTTGGGAACACTGACCAAGGCAGCAGAAGACAAGGGTGCATGCCTTACTGGGGAAGGTGAAAGCTAAAATAATAAAGAAATCATCATTATTCCCTCTTTATTAATTTGATCAATGAATATGAATTAGTTACTCCCTTTGTTTTAAAAAAAAAATTATCTAGTTTAATTTGAAATGGAGTTTAAAAAAATAATAATTTTAATCTTGTAGTTTTAAATTAAAGTTATGTCAAATATACCAAAATACCTTTTAATCTTGTGGTCTTAAACATGCAAAGTGAAAAATTAAACTTAAAGTGTTGCCAAAAAAAAGAAAGAAGTCATTCTTTTTTAATCAAACTAAAAAAAAATTTGAATCATTCTTTTTGAAAAAGGAAGGAGTACTAAATTTCCTAGGTTAATTAAATGCATATTTTTTATGTTAATAGAGTATTTCTTAAGTAAAACAGTGTTATTTATACCTCTTATTTAAAAAGCATATATATATTTTTTAAGGGAAAAAAAACAAATATACTCCGAACTATTGTAAATGGTGTAGATATACCCTTCGTTATACTTTTGAGACATTGATATTCCTGCCGTCTAAAAACTAGAATATATATATTTTTTATACTAACGGACATACACGTGTCATAATCTTATTCATTGACCCGATATTTATTAAATATCGAATTGACAAATAAGATTGTGTCACGTGTCCCTATTTAGTCTTCCGTTAGAGTGAATGACATATATATGCTCTAGTTTTTGAATGACATGGACACCAATGTCCCAAAATTATGACGGAAAGTATCTACATACCATTTACGATAGTTCGTGAATATATTTGCCATTTTCCCCTAATTTTAATAAGTACAACAGAAACGGAGAAAATAAACTGAGGAGATACATATAATTGTCAATAGGGAGACAAAGTACCTTTGAAGGGAAGAACTCCAGCCTCAATTAGTTTGGGCAGAGAAAGATAAATCCAAAAGCAGGAAGGACTAATAGTGTCAAATGTAATAACTGGAACTCCCATCTCATTTCCAATATCCACACCATAATAAAACAGGCCATCTAATATCACACATGTGACTGGCTCCTTAACAAGGGCGCTAAGCATTTGTTTGAGTAAAGGCTCAGCCATGGTCTGCAAGGAGCTGAGAATGTCTCCGAATTGTTCGACCGAACGCGGGTGGTCATCGGGGAGGCCATCGGATAATGTAAGGAATCGGAATCCAGGATATTGTTTGAAACGAGATTCGACATTGGAGTTACCAACGAGACGTTGTTGATTGTGATTTGTGTTGAGAAAAGTGACTCTAAGGCCAGCAAGGCATAAGAGCTCAGCTAATTGTAGATTGGAGTTTATTGTGCTTTGTAAAGGGAGAGGGAAGATGAGAACGGGAGGAGTAATGGATGTTTGATGGTCCATGCCTATTGTAAGAGTAGGTGAAATTAGTTAAGCTTTTTATAGGTGGAGTTGGTGCAACATTTTCCCTTTGCCACTTTTCTTTCTCCTCATTATATATATATATTTTGGTAAGTACTTTCTTCCCGACTCTTTTTACTTATTCATTAAACTATTTTGAGATGTCCAATAATACTTGTACAGTTTATAAAATTAATGAATATTTTTTCATGTAGTGTCTATTTTATTCTTGCTATTAAGTACTATTCATTTTTTAATGTTTAAATGACTTATACTCCCTCCATTTCAATTAATTGAATTATTCATAAATTTTTTATTTTTCAAATTAACTTAATTGTTCAATTCTCAAGACTATTTTTAGAATGTTCTTCCAATTTTACCCTTAATTAGTTAGTATTGGAATCAGTTATTTATTAATGTTTAGTTATTTTAATCATAAATTTAATAATACTCTCTCCGTCCCATTTTTACTATGGACTTGCATTAAGAAATGATGTAAATTTACTCTTCTATCCTTATTTAATGTTTTCTTAAGTCAACTTTATTAATAAATGACAAGATTAATTAACTATTCTATCAAGGGTATAATAGGCAAAATATGGTAATTTATGCATAAATTTTATAAAATGACAAGTATTGTGGTCCAACTATTTATAGAAAGGGATGACATGTAAAATGGGACGGATGGAGTAATTAATAAGGGTAAAAATCAAAAGTTATGCCTAATTTATGTCTTAATCTTCTTTTCTTAAAAAGTATGAAACATCTCAACAATTCAATTCATTTGAAATGGAGAGAGTATTTAATAAGGGTGATTTGGTAAAGTTATCCCTATAATTTACTGTTTCTTAATTTTTGTGTCAATTCAATAATGAACAACTAATATTAGACAGAGAGTAAAAAATTATTTTAAAATATTAAAATATTACTTGTCTATTATTTTTAAATCAAATTATTATTTTTACTTGTCACTTCCAACATATCAAACAAAGATTAAAAAAAATCTTCATATTTTACCCTTAACATTAATTACTTATTCCCCAAATCGATTTTCAATATAAAAAACTAAACATCAATTAATAGGGATAGTTTGATAAAATAGTCATGTCAATTATTGTTTTCTTAATGAGTATGTCAAGTTCAAATATGACAAGGAAAAGTGAACAGATAAAGTAATAATAAAATTTTAAAATATCTATTTTACTTTTAATGAATTTTTTTTATAGTTAACATATATCTATAACCTATTTTAGACTAATTTTGTTATAAAAATCTTTTCTAATCAAACTTCAAATCAAGTTAAATATCATCACATAAATCGATACAAATAGAGTATAGTACTCCCTCTGTTTTTTATAAAGAATTACCTACTTTCATTTTTTGATATGTTTTTTTTAAACCACCCATTTCCTTTTTTTTGGCAGTACTTTCATTTCAACTTTTCACAACATATTTAAGGTCATAAGATTAAAGAATATTTTAATACATTTGATATAACTATCATTTGAGACCACAAGATTAAAAGTTTTACTTTATTTTTCAAACTTCGTATGAAGTCAACTAACTTATTTTCTTTTAAATGAAGAGAGTAATATATATATATATATATATATATATACGTTTAACACATGTGAAGAGGGTCATGGATATATTTCTTAAATGAAGAAACCTTATTTAATTTCAAGTGGAGCTCATTCCAGCCTGTGTGAACAAATTAAAAAAATCTATTCATATCGAGATTTGATCCATTTCAGCAATTTTTTAAGTTAGCATTTCGACAAATTAGAGCCATTTATGTTAGGTACGTACCTCAAATCTATTATGTTGAGAGTAAATAAATTTTAATTTTTTAAATTAAAATATATTTTATGTTTTGTATTTATTTTAGGGATAAGAGTCTGAAAAATACCTCAATTTTGGTCGGATTTACTGTTGCGATACTAAACTTTAATGAGGACCTATTACCTCCCTAGACTATTTATTACCGTATTTTAAACATATATATTTGCCCACGTGGACATAAAAAATAATGCAAAATTATAAATAGTAATGTGTCCACGTGGGCACATATATACCTTTAAAATACACTATTAAATAGTTCAGGGGGTAAAAAATACGGTATTAAATAGTCTAGGAAGGTAATAGGTCCTTAATGAAAGTTTAGTATCGCAACAACAAATCCGACCAAAGTTGAGATATTTTTCAGACCCTTATCCCTTTATTTTACCTTGTTATTAATGTTTTAATTATTTCTAATGCATCTCCAACATCAATGACTTGTAATAACTAAGATGAACTAGAAAAGGGAGTATATAAAACTCTATGCCAGTTGGCCTATTATTTTCTAGGATCATTTCATTTTATTTATTTTTGTATAACTTACATAAATCTCATAGTGTAAAAAGTAAATTACATCCTATTCTTACTCTTTTTTTAATTACAATAATCTCTTAAAATTTGTACCTTTCGATACATAAGTCAACATCCGAATACATTAATTCTGAACGTAAGTGAGGTGAGTTATGAAGGATACTAAAGTGATGGAATTGTTGTTGGACAAACGATTCCTTTTGAATCTTCAAGTTCGTAGAAGATCCTTTCAATTTGATTCAAAATTGTCGAAAATTTTGAGATTCAAGATTCTTCTTCCAGTTCGTTGAAGATCCTTTTGAATTTTGATTCAAATTGTTGAAAAATTTGAGATTCAAAATTCTTCTCCTAGTTCATTGAAGATACTTTCAATTTTGATTCAAAATTATCGAAAATTTTGAGAAGATACATCATGAATATCTTTGCTAGTCTTGTTACTATCATTGTTAGGGGTTTGAAGAAGTTCTTGAGCTTCTTTGAGGGCTCCTAGCATCTCCTTTCGTGCGGCCGCCACCGCCTCTGTGACGCTTTCTTCCTCTATCGATATTGACTATATCGTGATACATTAGTATTTATCTTTCTTGTATAAATTGATAAGTATTGTATTCCTATTAATTAGATACATTAAATAAGTAAATTTTACACGTAAAGTGTTTGCTTAGAGTTCGACACATTATTGTGTGATAGTTATTATATATCAAATACATATAGTATTAATTTAAATTATTGTATCATGATGAAATGTTTAGCATGATACATTACTATTTTTGTATCTTGTTATGTTTGTGAAATACTATACTTTATAGATGATACATTATACATTTAAAATGACAAATATACCCTCGAACTATCATAAATAGTATGTATATACCCTCCGTCATACTTTTGGGACATTGGTGCCCCTGCCGTTAAAAACTAGAGCATACATGCCCTTCACTCTAACGGAAGACTAAATAGGGACACGTGGTGCAATCTTATCCGTCGATTTGATATTTCATAAATGTCGGGTCGATGGATAAAATTATGACACGTGTATGTCCGTTAGTATGAAGGGTATATATGCTCTAGTTTTTTGACGGTAGGGGAACCAATGTCCAAAAAGTATGACGTATGGTATCTGCTTACCATTTATGATAGTTCGAGGGTATATTTATCCCTTTTCCCTTTTGTAAAAGCATCAAAATGTTCAAGAATGAGAGTATGTATCAGATTATATTTATATTTTGTATTTGATATTAAGTATAAGTTAGTTGTTTGATTGTTTGTGATTGATACATAGAAATAATTGTTTTATGGAATGTATCACCAATTTCTTTAATGTTAACATGTTGTTGCATCATCTGAGTATCTTTATTCTGTCTATGATTCTAGAAGAAAATACATTATTTGCCTTGAAAGATAAATATGCAATTGTGGAAGATTTCAAGTTGATAAGATATATATATATATATATATATAAAAAAAATGTGTCACACCCCTTTTTGCGGACAAGGATAAGGTTTTTCCAATTTAAGTGACGGTATTGATTTAGGGATTATTTTAATTTTCAGAGTCGCCACTTGAAATTGAGTTATGGTGTCTAAGTCACCTTTTTTGTTTAATCCCTAATCAAAAGGAAATGACTCTTTATTTGGTCTGCGAACTAGAAATTCGGGTAAGGAATTCTGTTGATCGAGGAAAAGGTATTAGGCATCCCTCGAGTCCCGTGATTCTAGCACGGTCGCTTTTATTGATCTATACTTGACTTTTTTCTTGATACATTAATTCAGACATTATTTGTTTGCATTTTTTATTGTTGAACTTTTTATTTGGTATGCGTAACCGTATTCTTGGTCTTGACATTTAGAGAAATAATTGTCTTCTTCGCATCACACCTAATAATTGTCTATAAGTCTTACTTTAAATTAATAAAAGTTTGTCATGACCCACACCGTCGTGATTGACACCCACACTAACCCTCCGATGGGAGAACCATTACTACAACCCAGACTAAACAACTTAACCAAAAACTATGCATTTAAAGATACAGAAGCAGGTTTAAATGATAATAAAATGGAGTCCCCATAAACTCCAAAGGTTTAAACAAACTAGCCAAACTAATGCGGAAGAACAACCCTAGAACCTGAAAGTCAATGTACCAAAACTCTACCAACGACAAGTCTAAGAAAGGGTACAACCCCGAAACTAAACAAACACCTTAAACAAATAGTATGAGTCCGGAAAGAGTGGACTTAAACAAGAGAGATCCATAGCAGCCTGAAAGAACTAGCTCACCCTTGAATACGATCACGCTCAATAGTCACTTAGCTGAGGTCTATCAATAGCCACCTGAAGATGCCCTGTACTTAACAAAGAACAAGCAAGTGCAATATCAGTACACAACCATAGTGTACTGGTAGGATCACACAACTATCCTAATAAGTGAAATACATGCAAATAACCACAACATTATAAAACAGACATATACCAAACATATACAATATTAGTCATTTTTTCAAGATCAATTTAGCATTCCATGTTCTCAGTTATACCCATTGGTTATCATTTTAGAGCAACAAACAATCTTTCAACCTCAATAACCATTAGATATGAACGAAATCAACATAAGTAGATACACAACACAATTCAATGGTCCTCTCACAGAACCCAATTCAATGGTCCTCTCATGGAACCCACACCCAAACCTGTTAGCGTACCGGTACGT